ATATTATAATGTTATGGTTCCAAAATTTCGCTTTCATTAAGCCATCCTATCAGTCAGAAGAATCGATAACCGATGGTGAAAGCGAATTCTTGAGTGGAGAACACGGCTTGGCAAGCGTAGTAGGACTGGCTCTGGCCAGATGAAGTGACTCTACAAAAGGTGCTGGCAGCAGATGCATGCGACAAGCTAAGGAACGGACGAAATAACGCGCATTGGGAGAGGCCTATATCCAGCAGTGGACTGCGATAGACTGATGATCATGGTGAAGCCAGCCTAAAATTTTCTCGTAGATAACGTTAAACATTTATTTTATAATGCTTAGTTAGTAGATGCCGAATAATAATTTCTCAGATAAAATATATTTCGTTCATTTCTTGTTCATAGGAAGCCGGTTTTCCTCCAGGCGTCGTCAACGTGCTGCCAGGTTATGGTGACACCGGTGCCGCTATTGTCAACCATCCTGACGTCGATAAGATTGCGTTTACAGGTATGGGTCTACCAGGAGTTCATGGTGGGGCATTTGAAAATTCTGTATTTATTATTGCTGGTACAAAGATCGAACAACACAAAGAAAAATTCCTTCGATCTGCACTCGAAATGTTGCTCTTATCAACTGAGCTATGAGCTAGCGGTGCATACAGTGCAATCATGCCGGCAGCTTGAACACAATGTAGATTATATACTTAAATTTACTTAAAATCTGTAGCTAATGATGCAAATTAAATACGCACTTATTTTATCCATAAAGAAGTCTTATAACAGGTGGCGCAAAAGTAATGTCATAATTGTGCGTTAATTTTTACAAATGGCATCAAATATTTATTGTACTTTGACATCTATGTTGTAGATAGATAGAGAATTAATTGACAAAAAGCGAACACACCTGAAGAACGTGGAATTATTGTTACTGCTTATTTGACCAATTTTCGATCTGTTGTTTGAGGACGCCGATGGTACTAAGTTGCTGAATTGGGTCCCGAGCATTGTTGGTTCTAGCAAGACGGAGCGACCTCTCACACAGCTCCAACAACTACAACTTTCTGGGCCGTGTGTTTTCCCGTTTTGGAGATTTGAACTGGCCGTCCAGATCACCAGATCTAACGGGGCTAGATGTCTTTCTTTAGGGCTTTTTGAAATCTCGCGTTTACCACAACAAACCACAAACCTTGCAAAGCTTGAAAGCTAACATTAATGAAGAAGTTACCAATTTGGAGCCAGATGTTTAGCGACAACATCAATTTTCAAAATACCGTAAAACGAGCACTAATGTGCGTCAAATCGGGAGGTGGTCACTTGACTGACATAGTTTTTTCAAATTAATGTCATTATTTTACATCTTCAAATAAACTTTTCGTGAAAACAAACCTCGTTTTTCCCATTTCTAACAAAATGGTAGCCAATTCACATTATGACCTTATTTTGCGCCACCTTGTATATTGCCATATCCTGGTAAAGAATCGTATTCTATTCTATAACAATACCGTGTTGTACATACCTACAGTGACATTAATTAGTCCTTTATAGAGTCATACAAACCCTGTGCCCAGCAGTGAGAAGTTTAATGTGATGATATGATTTATCAACATTGATAAAAGAGTAATTTCGAGATTGCCTATGCTATATTCTGTGCGTATTCTTAAATTTCTTCTTTTTTTACTTGTATCCTAGGCTCAACGGAAGTGGGCAAACTGATCCAGCGTAGCGCAGCAGACACTGTGAAACGCATTACGCTCGAGCTGGGCGGTAAGTCGCCCAACATCATCTTCTCCGATGTTGACCTCGAGTACGCCGTCGAGCAGTCGCACATGGCGCTCTTCTACAATATGGGGCAGTGCTGCTGCGCTGGTGAGCAAAAACTTTGACAGCCAATATACATATGTCGGAACAGTCATTACTTAGAACTGAATCGTCAGACATCGTTTGTGCAGATTTAGGGATCGTGCAATGCGATTACGTTTTAAGTAACATTATATTTTAATCATTTTTAAATCGGATAACAACTTGTACTTTCTATTAATTTTAACGCTCAAAATCACCTAGTGGGGCACTAGGTGATTTTAAGCGTTATTCGCGTTAGGTGAAACGGAAAGCAGATCCGTGATGACGACAACACTGCATCGCGAGCCGATCGCAAAGTGTATCCGATTGTGCTTGCCCACAATGTCACGACCACAGACATATATGTATATCTAGATAGACGCCGCAAGTACAGCAATTTGTATGAAAACCAAACGTGCCACATTTTTTATATCCACTATGACGTTACAAAAACTATTTAGTGATGGAAACTTCCTTCAGCTCGCTCTAAATCGAATAATTTGTTTAAGTATTTGTTGATTACAAGTAGTCGTAACATTAATATAGTACAAAAATACTAGAATAAGATAGTTAAGTCCTTTATTTTACTAGTTTAAAAAAAATGTTGATTGCTTAAGACTTTAATTTTTAATCGACCTCAAATATTAAAATTGTTGCCCTTCCAATAAAATGAGTACTAATACTACATGTACATATAACATACTTTTGTAATAGAAGATTGTATCGATTAACTTAAATAATGAAAACGCACGTCAATATAATATGAACTTGCGACTGCCTTAATTAATTTTACTAGATGGTTTTCTGTTGGTAATTGATCAAATAGATGAATGGCAAGACAAATGAAAGTGTTACTGCTGACTAAATATGGCCAAATCTTATTAATCAGAAGAGGTTTACTTAATTACGGCCTCGTGTGAAATTTTTGTGATTTGTTTATTATTTCTCGGATTTCTAACTCTGCTACTCTGCATATTTGGATAGCATCTTAGGGGGGATAAACTAAATCACCTTCGTCCTCGAAAGCAATAAACTCATACGTATGACCAACTCCAGATTTTTGCAAAGACAGCGCACTTATTTGCATTATATATTTTTTTGTATTCCTCGTATTATATATCCGACGATGTATGTAATTATTTGCTCGCTATACCGGAGATCATTGACCTACATGCCGGAGATAGACTGGCCACTGTCATTTCTTACCTATGCAGTGTAGTATTCCATGTAGCGACGTCTAAACGGTAAGCTGAGAACTAGATGAAATATCTATATCAATACCTACGTATAGATATGTCCACATTAAATTGAATTTGTTACTTAAAACTTGCATATTTTGATTATTCTCGAAATATCAAACGTTGAAAATTCAACCGATTTGCAATAAGATATTGACTACTTCAGAAAATAAAGTATATAATTGCTTATCCAAATCGGTCAAATAAGTATTACCTTTAATATTTCGAGAACAATCAAAACAGCGAGTATGTATTAAATATAAAAATCTATACGTCGTTAGTAATATAGATCAATAATACAAAATGTATGGTCTGAATATTTATTTGTACACCAGTTTGCCGTTCTCGTTTTTTACCCTTTCTTTTATTATAATATTCTCGAGCCTGTACAATATTGCGGTCCATTTCATTAGCGTTTGCTTTAGAAAAATTGTAATAGCTCCTGCCAGAAAGGACATTGCTGACTTCTCTGCACCAATTCATGACGAAGAACACAACAATTTTATTCAGTAAATACTCACATGGTTATTTTTATATTCGTGACACGTAATGCAATTTAAATTTATATGTATAGTTATTATTAAACATATATACTGTACGATTTTTTCAATATGTGCATCATTTTTTAACACTTTTAAAGTGATGTGTTCCACTTGGGCAAAGTGGAACACATTACTTTAAAACATTGTGGTCAAAATAGGCGCTTTGTTGTCGAGTTGCGGACACCAGCCCGTTGCACCAAGTACCAAATACCAATGTCCGAGTTGGATAGCACAACCACTTTTTGCCGCAATATTCTTTCTTTGTTATGTATGCATGAAAATCTTCAGTATTGTTACTAATGACTGTTTTTACATGTCTTACAATTTTTGAAAACAAACTTTTTTGCATTGGTGGCCATCCGGGTGGATGGCCACCAAAGCAATATGCTATAGCAGCGCATTTCTCTACATGAACACGAAAACAACTTGTTAACATTGTTTGAGTGTTAATCATTTCAATATTTAAATAATAATCCATACTGTGCGTTATAACATTAACATATTCATTACCATTGCTGGGTGTTCATTTTCGACAAAAGACTTCAAGGATTGTCAAATACTGTCATCCTCTTCACAATTTCCCTATAGGGAGTGTACAGATGTGATATTATTTATTAATAATGTTTTGAAGGCATTTTCAAATGCTGCAGTGTTAGACATTATATTATTATAGCCACGAGCTCTTATGGCTCCGAAAAAGTTTTCTTTCTATTGGGTCTTGATTCATATTTCTTAATAGAACAGAATTGATTCCCCGCGTCCTCAAATAATTATTAAAAGATTTGAAACCTTCAATTGTTTTCACCCAGCTGGTAAAAAAGGCACTGTAGTTTCTTTACCATTATTATTATTACATATAATATTTTCATTTATCGATTTTAATATTGGCAAAGTGGAGTTCCAAAATTTTAAATGGGGTGAGTTTGGTGTAACTGCCGATCTATAAATTTTTCCTTTCTGGAAGTTTGCGTTGACGGTGTCGAAGAGATCGTCAAACATCATTAGTAGTTCTGCAGTGTCGACGCTTTTCTCCGGCAAGCTCCTACATTCTGTAAATGAAAATGTTAATGGTGTACTTACATAATTTATATTCTATCATCAACATAATTTAGTTTAAGTTACAAATTTGGTTAGGGAAATTTACTCCTGTGTGAGAGTATATAATTTTATTTGCAGCGAATATCGTTGTATTAAGTAAACCCTAATTGAAAACTGATAAATTTTCAAAAATAATAAAGTTTAGTGACCCATTGTGTGAGCAATTATGTAATGGTAAATTATGTAATTTTTGTACAGGCTCGCGTACTTTCGTGGAGGACAAGATCTACGACAAGTTTGTAGAGATGTCAGCGGAGCGCGCGAAGAGACGCGTCGTCGGAGACCCCTTCGACCCTAACACAGAACAAGGACCACAGGTAATATTGATTACGGGAAAAATAATAATTAATGCGCGTAGCATTTTTGTTATCAGATATGTAATTATTATATAGTTTTTTTATTATTTTTTATTTCATGACCTTGGATTCGAGACCTGTCGAAATATAGTGACTGTTTAATGTGAATTACTGAAAATGCCATTCAGAATATCTGGAGTGATAACATTTAAAATTGCTATTGCTTCGCTTCTAGATCACTACTGTAGTTTAATCCTGAATGTCATAGTGGTACTATGTGAACTTTACCAATGCTGTTTCTGTAATATTAGTAATTATATATTTTTAAATCTACTTGTTTGCGACAGCCACTCTGACTGTATTATTTATTGCAGATCGACCTTGAGCAACGCACGAAGATCCTCGACTTGATCGAGAGTGGCAAGAAGCAAGGCGCGAAACTGGTAACAGGCGGCGGACGTAAAGGAGACGTGGGTTACTTCATCCAGCCCACTGTGTTCAGCGATGTTAAAGATGATATGGATATTGCCAAGATTGAGGTAACAAAACCCTTTAAGAGACGAGTGGGAGAAGAGAGTATAACCCTTTCAAACAAAAAAAGACTTCAAAATCGGTCCACAATTGATGGAGAAATCGGACAACATACATAAAACATACATACAGCCCAATGTATAAAACCTCCACCTTATTTTTTTGAAGTCGGCTAAAAATAGAAACAATGTGACCGTGACTCGCTTTCACGCCACCAAGGAACAATTCAATCTCCATTTTGGACTCGCAAATTTTAAAGTCACGATCGTTTGATAAATTATATTCAACTTAAAATACATTATCAAAAATATATTCATAAATAGGATTTTTTTAATTGTTTAAATAGCATATTCGCTTCCAATTGGCGGTTGCTTGTTGAATCTAACATAAGATACACGTTTTTATTGCGACATCGACATAAAAACACGAGTAAAGGAATATGATGAAGAAACAACCACGCAGCAAACAGTGTACAGCTCCCATATCTTTTCTACATAAGTTTTGTTTATAGGAACCCGGCCACATGATATCGGTTAACCACAAACCCCAGCGAGTACACAAGTCGGGGTCCGCCAGAGACGCCCGTGAAGGCGTATCACTGGCGGAGGGCTCGGCTCGTACATCCGCTGTACCCTGACCTTCCCGGCGAACCCGTGGTCTCTCGGGTCGGTAAATAGCAAATAATGTACAAATTAATAAATGTTAATTTTCCAGATTTTCGGCCCGGTGCAGCAAATCATAAAATTCTCCAAAATGGACGAGCTATTGCAGCGCGCCAACAACTCTGAGTACGGCCTCGCCGCTGCCGTCTTCACCAAGGATCTAGACCGTGCTAACTATCTCATACAGGTATGTACCTATTTTTTTAAACCCGAGTTTTTGCTTCTGGGGGTGTACTCTCGATCTCCGTCCGACATCCGTCCGAAACAATTACTGCCAAATAAGCAATACTTGACCAAATGAAAAGACGCGTGATGCGAATGAAGCTTCATACTGGATACTTATCTTTTAATTTTGTCGAATATTACTTATTTGACAGTAATTGTTTCGGACGGAGATCGAGAGTAGACCCCCTGATGTGAACTTATTTAGTAGCAGTACAACTTCTTGTGAAAGACTTCGTCCAGAGACGTGTGTGTGCATTGAGTAAGAATCCTCTGAAGAACGTTCAAAAAAGAAATGTCATTTAGTAACAGTTCTAAAACAGAAACCCACCGTGAATCTCAGACATATTAACTAAATGGTTCGAAACATGTCACGCAAAAATTCAACTTAAATGCGTGAGTTATCTGTTATTTTAGTTAATAGTTCTAAAACAATTGTAGACACCAGTCTTTCTATTTGTAAAAAGATAAATAACGTAATGTGTGCTCACTCAGTTCTTACAGAGGGCCAGTCAGATCTACAAAAGCATTAACAACTTACACTAGTTTTTAGTAGTAGTTTTGTGAAACTATCGTCTTTAATTGATTGAGATTTTTGAGAACTTTGATGATTGAGAGGCTTTTTAAAATTTTTACAGATAGTTTCTTAGGGTCACTCCATCCACGCGCTTACAAAAGGAACGATTTCCATTACAAACCAAATAACAGAATTAAATATCGTTTGTCTAGATGTAATAAAAGTTATAAATGATTTTGTATAATATAAATGTAACCACTAATGTCGGTTGTTTTTGAATAATGTTTTTTTAAGTGGTTAAACTCAAAACTCACATTTCTGAAAAGTGAAAAACGTCAATAACTTTTGGTTTGTGTGTTACAGAGACTGCGTAAAGTGTTATAGTTCAAGTTTTAGTAGAATTTGTTAATAATATTTGACTATTTCTGAGAATATTCGTACATTTACAAAAAAGGGTTTACCCCGAATCAGTAGAAAAAATACTAAGTTTTTATTCAATCGTCCAAAAATAAATAGGAAAATTTTGAAGAATAAACATTATTTTTTAATACTACGAAGAGTGAAAAGTGTAGTCTTATTCATTAATTAATTATTTCAACTTTTTCATAACAATGTTTTTTACTCTTCATACAAAAATAAAATTGCCGCCCCCCTGACCTCCAGTGTTTGTCGCTTCATAAAATACAAAATGTCTCATTAATAAAGTGTATGTTTTTGTATTACAGGCTTTGATTTAATGTAGTCTTAGTACTAAAGTGATTTGATATGTGGTTTCATAGTAAAAGTTTATATTACTTAAACTTTTAAATGCCAAAAATAAAATGAGCCATACCGATTTAGTTTTTCTTTCGTTACGCTTAATTTCCACTTTCACTTAATTTCCGAACTCATCATCATCAACTAGAATCATCCTTATTGGCTGTTGGTTTGGCGCCCTCGGCCATATTTTTCATGACAATCAGTCCAAATGTGATGGTCAATATTTTCGTGTCCTTAATAGTAAAGAACTTTTTATGATAAGGTGGGTCTTGATTTATTTATCCCTTCGTAGTACACGTAAATTAAAAGTTTAATAATACATTTGTTATATCAGGTTATAACAAACCATTGACATTTAAAAACATACTATTATTTCGTAACATTTTTATGCATTTCGTTACATAACAGGATAAACCTGAGTGTACACAGTTATTACCCGACTTCGACAATGCAAAAAAGAATGAGTTTGGCAGTAGGGCAGATATGTAAATATTATGCATATATGTAAATGATTGTAATTCTGATGAGATATTGATAAAATAAATAGACTTTACTATTTAATAGATTTAATTAGAAGTAAAATGTGTAACATACATCGCAAGCACAAGTGACACGTCAATGAACCGGGCAAGAGAGCGGGGGAAACAAGTGAGCGATTGCAATGTATTGGAGATAAAACATTGCTCATAGAAAAGCGGCAGGCGCTTAGTGTTTTAGTTTGTGTCCAAAGTTCCATCATCCTCTCCTGGGCGTAAACCCATTGCAATGTAGAAGGCTTCATGCTTTGGCCGGTGTAACCCCTTCGTAAGTGCATCAGCGACCACGTCCTCAGTCTTCTTGTAGTGAACTGATATTTGTTTGCAAGCGATTTTTTCTCTCAAGAAATGGTACCTCACATCGATATGTTTGCTGCGCGCGTGTTAGGTCTCGTTACCTGAAAGACTTATAGCACTTTGGTTATCACAGTACATACAAAGTGGAGTACCTGCAGTTTCAGGCCAGAAGCTTTCTTCCAACTGTTTAAGCCACAGAGCCTCTTGGATAGAATAAGCGAGTGACATGTACTCCGCTTCCGTGCTAGATAGGGCTATGGTTTGTTGCTTCTTTGATGCCCAGCTAATGGCTGCACCCTGAAAAATAAAAATATATCCTGTGCAGGATCTTCTGTCTACTGAGTCGCTTGCCCAGTCTGCATCACAATAGCCAGTGATATTTTTATTATCCTTTTTGAATAATAATTTTGTATTTTTAGTTGCTTGTAGGAATCGAACTACTCTTTTCACTGCGGTCCAATGAGTGATAGTTGGTTGATTGTTAAATTGACTTAGTGAATTGACAATATATGCTATGTCAGGTCTGATGCCTTGAGATAAATACAATAGGCATCCTATAGCTTCTTGATAAGGAGCGTCCTGCAGTATTTCATCGTCCTTTTCTGTCCTTTTTAATTGTATATTAGGGTCACAAGGTGTCCACACAGGTTTACATTCACTCATTCCAAATCAAGATAAGATTTTCTTTAAGTAAAGAGCAAACTCTTCAAGTCAAGGGATATTTCATTTTCACTTTGATTAATTCTAAAACCAATGCATTGTCTTGCTTGACCTAAATCCTTTATACTAAACTTTTGTTTTAATTTTTCTTTAATCATTATTGCAGTTTCTTTATTTTTCTAAAAATATAACAGATCATCCACATAAACAGTAATGAACAGAATGTCGTCTGCAGATAAAATTTGATAGTAAATGCAAGGATCAACTTTCGAACGTATCATTCCAATTTCAATAAGAGCTATGTTCAATTTTTTGTTCCACTGTCTGCTAGCCTGTTTGAGTCCATATAAGGATTTGTTTAATTTACTTACCTTTTCCCCTTGCTCAAATAGTGGAGGCTGACACATAAAAATCTCTTCTTCTACGTCTCCTTGCAAAAAAGCGGTTACTGCATCCATTTGGCAGATTTTTAATCCATATTTTACTGCTAAACCAATGAGATATCTGATAGATGTATAACGTACAACAGGCGCATAGATCTCATGATAATCTATTCCTTTTATTTGTTGGTACCCCTTAATTACAAGTCTTGCTTTATAGCGTACAACACTACCATTTTCGTCAGTTTTTCTTTTAAAAACCCATTTGCAGGGAATCTTCTTCTTATTTCTTGCTAAGTCAACCAATGACCATGTATTATTCTTGAGTAGTGATTGATATTCATTGTGCATGGACTCTTTCCACTTTTCTGCATTGTCACTTTTCATCGAGAGTTTGCCGATCATTATTAACTAAACTCGTTGTTGACTCACCAGTCATACACATGAACGATGTGTCCATAGTCTTGATGATTTCTTCTCGTCGTTTTGACCGGAGATTCATGTTGACATTCGGAGGAGTGCTACAGCTGACCTCAACATCAGGTATATATGTTTCATCTGTAGGGTCATCATACACATCAGAGCTTGAGGTGTCCGAAATAGCAATCGGAGTTTCTTGTGTCGTATTTACAGTGTCATAGACATTATCATTTTCAGACCTCATTTCGGGCTGCTGTTCAGTTAATGGTAAGTTAATTTCATTTATCTCTTTGTTACTTTTATTTACATTTGACGTTTCTTGACTATTATTTTTATTTGTGATATCTATTTTTCTTTCAGATGCAGAATTGAGGAACATATTTCTTTTTACAGATGCTCCAAGGAAAACTACATCTCTGCTCGTGATTGCTTTTCTACTTTCGGGATCTATGAATCCTAGGTACATAGTATAATAACCAATAACCTTTGGTACAATTTGAATACCGGACAAAAATTAACTCACATGATTTCGCATCCAGTTTTTGTCGTTTCTCCTTTGGTATATGCACCATTGCTCGACATCCAAAAATTTGTAGATGACTTAAATCTGGCTTAGGACCACTCCATACTTCTTCAGGTGTGATGTTGGAGAGAGCTTGAGTGGGTGACCGGTTGACTATGTATGTAGGCTTCTGTTGACTCAGCTTCACCCCAGAAGTCTTTCTGTAAAGCAGCATTAAAAATCATACATTTGGCACGTTCAATAAGCGTACGGTTCATCCTCTCACTTAGCCATTTTGTTCAGGTGTATACAGAATGAATGTTTGATGTAGAATTCCATTTTTCTTTAAGTAAGCATTAAATTGTCTATTTATATATTCTTTTCCGTTATCACTTCTTAAAATCTTAATCTTTTTATTTAATTCGTTTTCTACACGACTTTTAAATTCAACGAATTTATCAAATACCTCACTTTTATTTTTGATAGCGTACACAAATACTTTACGTGAGTAATCGTCAATGAAAGTTGTAAAATACCTTGCACCTCCAATTGATGTAGTTTGCATCGGTCCACAGTCAGTATGGATTAGCTCTAACAATTCCTTTGCTCGGGAGCCACTACTCGGTAGAGATTGCCTGGTTTGGTCCAAACATGGTATATATACAAAACTTTCTTTACACGGTGATAATTTCGCGCCAGAAGCATAGTTTGGTATTTTATTGACATCAACAAAGTTTAAGTGGGTCATACGTTGATGCCACAAGTACGTATCAGTCTCTGTTGTAGCTGTCATTGCTCGGATTCTACTGTTATTGACATTCAATCTGTAGGTATCGTTAATAAGATTAGCACTAGCTACTTTTGTCTCCATTTTCGTTATGTATAAAACAACCATTTTTATCAAAATGTATTTTACAGCCAGCTTTAATTATTTTACTCACAGATAGTAAATTAGTTGACAGTCCTGGTACAAACAATACATTTCTCATCTGTATTGAATTGCTGCTGCTATCCTTAGTAATTATTTGTATGGTGATGTCACCACAACTTTCAACATTTAACACTTTGTTGTCTGCGATTCTTATGTTGTGAACAGGTGGAGCAGTTACGTTCTCTAACCATTCCTTGTGCATGGTCAACTGCATGGCTGAAAAAGCAGCTATAAAACCATTGTTATTTTTACCTTCGTTCGCTTGCGTTCGTGTCCGTTCGCTCGTGTTCGTGTCCCTCAAATCTTTGCGATTTTAAAATTAGTGGCACAGCTTCTGCTATGGACAGGCGTGTCGCGTGTTGTGTCAGGTGTCACTTGGTATCATAAAAAAAATATCGGCTATTTAGGAACATTGCAATGTAGCTTAGTAACAGCGAAATAAAAAAGAATATTGACTACTGACAAGGCCGTAGTAGCCCAATGGTTTGACTTACCACCTCTCAAGTAGAGCACCGTGCGTGGGTTCGTATCCGGGTTCGCAAAATTTACCATGGGCTTTTCGATCAAAGTAAAACATCGTTATGAAACCTGCACGTCAAAGAAGGTTCACAATCCTCAGAAAACGTGTGAAATCCCCAACCGGCACTGGGCCAGCGTGGCGGACTATAGCCTAGACCCTCGCTTTAGAGGAGACCCGTGCCCAGCAGTGGGACGTATAAATGGGTTGATGATGATTGACTACTCATATTACTTTTTATATTTAGCATAGCATATATATATAGCACTAGCATATCCATACAAACGGGGAACGCTGCTAGCATCTTGGGCACCTTGCTGCGGGGACCCAATTTTATCCATATAATTTAATCTTAGTTTTACTTTCTAGTATTTAAGCTTTTATTGTACCTTACCTGTATATTATGAAAATAAAATAGATTGATTTTATATTTACTAAATACGCCTGGTTGTTATAATTTTATTAATTGTCAACAGGGTCTACGTGCAGGCACAGTTTGGGTGAATGACTACAATGTGTTCGGAAACCAAGTGCCATTTGGAGGTTTCAAGCAATCAGGCATCGGGCGCGAGAACGGTCCGTACGGTATTAAGAACTACACTGAAATTAAGGCTGTTATCGTTAAACTTACCGAGAAGAACTCGTAGATGCGTATCATTCCGTATACTGGAACGGAGGAAACTACATACAAAACTTAGGTCTGGTGAATCATGTACTAAATGAAAATATGTGGTGCTAAGAAAATAAATTTGGTTTTTAAAACTAGTGAAAATTCATTACATTGTCTTCCAAATTCTAAGCTTAATGTGAATGTAGTTTATAAGGAAAACTATGAACTCTGAGAAGCATTTTTTGTTCTTTTTACATATCGTGAACTTCGGGTGCCATAATTTCTGCTATACTACGTAAAATTTAACTTTATTAGAATGACACATATCGAACTTTATGTACCATTTATGGACACGATCAGTGATATTGAGAATCGACAGTCAGGTGGTCCAAGGGCAAAAAGTGGATGTTAAATATTTATATTGACTTGATGACATATTTGAATTGTTACTTGTAAGGGTCCGCCCACGTGGCACCACTTTTTCTTAATTTTCAGTTAATTTCTGTAATATTACCGAGCACACCTCATTGAATAAAAAAAACACCAAAAGCTAGTTTTCTAGTTCCGCTTCCAACTGTGATAGGTGCTCATCAAGCCTTAGGTCCGCCCGTTAAACGTTGCCAAGGCCAGTTGTTTGAGGTAGTACCGTTATTCCTAGCACCCCCTGCCCCGTCGTTGCTATGGCCGCTACTGCTACTAAATTGGCCGAAAATAACATAAAGTTGCTCAAAACACGAACACACCGCCAAACCACGTCTCGACTGGATGTGTTGATACTCATATTTTCAATGTCCCTACACGAACTTTAAGTACTCAAAATAAACGTTAATAATATTTCTTACTGAATTTACTCCAATAGTGATGTACTCACGATTTATGAAGCGACCTGTCATTCTTATCAAGTTAAATTTTACGGAATACAATATTTTTTTATGTTGCTTGTTAACCTTAGTTTTCATTCGGTTTCACTATCAGGAGGTGCTGTTCAATTATATATTTTTTATAATAAAACATCTTTATAAAAAGTACAAAGTTTTATTTTAACAAATTACGTCTAAAATCAACCACACGTTTGCTAACAATTGTAGTGTAATTTAAAAAACGGAAACTTAAAAACAATATTGTAATTAACTATATAAATTCTGAATTTTAGAAATGACAGTAAAATAGACAACCAACAAAGATTCTTTGGTGTACGATTATCTAATACAAAATTTTAGAAATAAGAAAGACATGATAAAAGTTTTAAATCAAGGTGGTTTAAAAAAGTAATTTATATAAAATGTGAACCTTTATAAGGTGGCAAGCTATTCTAAAAATCACAATTCTGGAATGCTTTGTGCTACTTAATCTAAAAATCACACAGCCTTGCATTACGATTATTAAAACGTTATCGAGAACTATTAAAAATCTAAGTCTAAAATGACACCATAAAGAAAACCAACAAATTCTTTGGGTTATCTTAATGCAAGGACGGAATCGGAAATACAATACCACATACTTTATAATCATGTATTTTTCATTCAGCAGTTTTAGTGTTTGATCAACTTTGTACTCTTCTAAAGTCAAAAGTATGACGAAAATGTCTCGAAGAAGAAATTTGCACGAATTGTTAAATTGTACTAAGTACTACATAGACAAGTGAATAAATATTACGCCACTAGTCATAATTAAGTTCTGCAAATAAATAATGCCCTTTACATGAGCGTCAACAAGACTTACGTTTTAAGTAACCGCATTTTATCGAAGTTGTACTTTGGATTTACTTAATACGTCCTGCGTGTTTATTTAGTCAACATTATTAAATGTTAGGTATCTGATGGTAAAGCTACATTTCTATATGTACGAACACACATGTAAGTTTACGTTACACTTGCATGCAAGTTGAATACGAAACGCAACATAAAGGTTCATTCGGTTCTAATTACCGGACTAAATTAATCGTTATAGCACCATTCAAACACACTAAGTTCTAAATATCTAGCTAACATGAACCGCGTTATACAATCTCAGTATTTTCTTTCTCTGCCTCGGAATCAATGTCCTCATTAAGAACTGAAAGGTTCTCTTCTGATATCTTTTGGAGATATCCACAATTCAGTGAACTTTTATTTAAATCTACTTCAGCTAGTTCTGCATTAGTGTTGATTACACCAGCTATGTCTGCTTTAGCTAGATCAGCTTCAATCTTCTTTTCGAGTAGTTCGAAATCGTCAGTCTCCTGTAGATTTTTAACACATTCTTCCGATGACGAATCTTGATAACTCATTACGTTTTCGATATTGAGTTCGATCTCATCACCTGTCGTTACCAAAGATGGACTGCTGTTGCTAAGAACTCTACTTCCTTCATTTATGGTTTGCACGAAAACTTCCGACTTTGGTCGAATATTTTCGCATTCCGTATTTTTCGTTCTGCGGCAGACTATAGGGGTTTGAACAAATTGGTTCACTTCCGATTTCGATTGTGCTTTATTACATTCGTTACTCTTCGTCCTGCGGCAGACTAAGGGGGTTTTATTTTTTTTGTCCTTTGGGAAGACGCGTTGTATCCTCTCTTCTACTAGAGATATGCTGCGTTTAAACAAAACTGTGTCTTGAGCTCTGCTGTTGTCGAAACTACAGCCGTCAATCGCATCGCGAGATTCAGTATCAGAGTTGTCGCATCTAAAATAGATTGTGTCACATCCGTTTTCTTGTTTTACCTGTTGGAATATTTATTTTGTATCAATGTTTTTAGAAAAATGTTACAACTTAAAATAAGCAATATGTCATTCACACACTAGGCGCCAAATCAAGCTGTTTGAAAAGTAAGAATTTCTCGTAACTAAATCATAGGAACTAAAAACAAATTTTGAAAAAGAATATTCTGAAGGTAACAACCATTTTATTAATGTTCAATTAGAGGAGTACAATTTTTGATGTAAAATGACGACTATCGACACCATTGATTGTTCTATTAACGTGTAGCTTAAATGGAGACGAATTAACTTTTGATCTCGAATAATACTGGCGCTAGCCACCTACCTACTTGAGTAGCAGTAGAGCCCCTTGTGAAAGAGTTCGTCCAGGATAGTACTGCCACCTTACCTATTTCTGCCGCCAAGCAGTAATGTCAGCATTACTGTGTTCCGGTTTTGAAAGATAAGGGTGCTGGTGAAATTACAGGCACAGACTTGTCAACATACACTGCCGGCCAAAAGTTTGAGACCACTAGTACGAATCTTTGTCACTAATAAAATATTTCAAAACTGCTTGAGATATACTAAAAAAAATTGAACACCTGCATATTCTATTGTTATTAGAATAATTCTAAAAGTCAATCTTTTAGTAAATTTTTAAGTTATTATCCTATAAAGGCCTATTGTTTCCAAACATCAATGAATGCCGTGAAATGCCCAGATGGTAGAGTCATTGTAATATTTTTATGAGCTGCTCATTACTAATTATTTTGGTTTTGTTTCGTGTTATCCGATATTTAGAACTATTTTGCTTCATAAAACATATTTATTACCTGAGTTTTCATGGAGTTAAACTTTCATTGTCTTGGTTAGTCCAAGCTCGTCGTTGTTACAGTGAAGACATCTTAAAATGGGAAAAGTGCGCGAAAATAGCAGTGAAACTCGTTCTGTTATATTTGTTTTACACAACGAAGGCAAATCAGAACGTGAGATTGCCACTCAACTGAAATTTTCGAAAACTTGTGTTCATAACAAAATAGCGCTATACAAGAAGACTGGCAGTAATCAAGATCGTCCGCGATCGGGAAGGTCGAGAGCTACGACTTCTAGCGAGGATAAGTTCATCGTCGTTACCAGCAAGCGGAATAGACGCCTAACAGCACCAGAAATCCGCGCAGAAGTGAATAAATCCCGATCTGAACCTGTGTCATTGACCACAGTAAAAAGACGATTGAGAGATGCTAACTTATTTGGTCGCGTCGCCGTTCGAAAACCACTACTAAGGCCACAAAACAAAAGGAAACGGATGCAGTGGGCTCATACCCATCGAGACTGGACCGAAGAAGACTTTAAAAAAGTTCTTTGGACAGATGAATCCAAATTTGAAATATTTGGATCAAAACGACGAATTTTTGTTCGACGTAGCGCCGAGGAAAAGATGATGCCAGACTGTGTGGTGCCAACAGTCAAGCATGGTGGTGGTTCCATTATGGTCTGGGGATGCTTCTCGAGCCATGGAACCGGAGATTTAGTACGAGTTGAAGGGATCATGAAAAAGGAGCAGTATAAACGAATACTACAGCAAAATGCCGTTCCATCTGGTTTAAAATTAATTGGAAATGGATTTTATTTTCAACAAGATAATGATCCAAAACATAGTTCAAAATTATGCAGGGGTTATTTAGAACATAAAGAAACAGAAGGGGTGTTAAAAAATATGGTGTGGCCCCCTCAGAGCCCGGATCTTAACCCAATTGAGCTTTTGTGGGAAGAGCTTGATAGAAATGTGCGTATTAGGTGTCCCTCCTCGCAAGAAGACATGTGGAAGGCTTTACAAGAAAGCTGGAACAATATTTCACAAGAAACAATTGACAAATTGATTGCTCGTATGCCGAGACTAGTGAGAAATGTAATTAAATGCAAGGGAGGGTTTTTTGACGAAAAATCTGTTTAAAACACGAACGGCATTTTTAACGTAAATGGTTGATATTTCTTGATTTGTTTTGTTTTCTTCTTGATGTATGTGTATTAGTAGATGAGTATTTTAATCAATAATCAAACCTCTTGCTTTATACTTTGAGTTTTATTTCATTTTCCTTCTTTGATGTAAGTGGTCTCAAATTTTTGGCCGGCAGTGTATGTCTCAGGGTAACGAACGCAGTGGTAGTGCCCTTCAGATCTTTGCAATTTAAAGCTCTGAGTGGCACTGTAACTGTTATGGACAGGCGTGTAGCTTACCATCAGGCGCACGCTTTGTTCGTCCCGTCACTTAATGTTATAAAAAAAAACCTACTATTACCTTTTATAATCTCAGTACAGAGTACAGTACAGTACTAAAAAAACCGACCTCAAAAGTACGTGGAATTACGTCTATTTGTTAAGTTTAATTGAAATATTCTAGTTCGCCACTATACAGGAGTTGACACTGGAGATAATAAAAATAGGTTCTCACTACGACACTACTCACAGCAAATACGCTCACTGACTCAAAGTATTTCGAGAGAAAAACGCCTTGAATTGGAGAAATAGCATTATCAACTAAATGATTGCTAAAAGTGATTGCTCCTAAATTAAGTTAGGCGCTATTTATAAAAATGACTCTTCATGCGTTGAGGTGGATGATTTTCTTCAAAATGAAATGGGACCACTATGGAAATACCCCCTTTCCAACAAAAAAAGAATCATGAAAATCGGTTCACAAATACCGGAGTTATCGCGTAACATACATATAAAAAAAAAGAAGAACATACAGTCGAATTGAGAACCTCCTCCTTTTTTGAAGTCGGTTAAAAATCAATATTGTGTTGTCAGCCGAAAAATTGATTTCTATAAATTAAAATTTAGGAACATTTTTTTATGGTACCAAGTGATGAGATGGACAAATCGTGTGGAAGATAAAAAAATGTAACTTATTACACAGCCTGTACCTTGATGAGACAGCAGTCATCCTCCTTCTCGCAGAGAATCTCGTGCAGCGAGCCATGCAATGGAATGAGCTTGACACGCCCACCGAAATTCTCCTGCATCTGCGTCGACAGGTCATCGTCAATGTACAGGTCCTCAGTGCTGCGAGCTTCCTATAGTGGAAAAAAAATGCTATTTGAATGTGAACCTTCTTCGACGTACTAGTTTCATTACGATGTTTTCCTTCACCGAAAAGCTCATGGTAAATATCAAATTAAGTTTCGCACATTAACTCGGAGAACTCAGAGGTGCGAGCCCGGAGTCGAACCCACGGCCTCTCCTTGAGGAATTACCATTCCTCACCATTAGGCTTATCTGTATAATTATTATTTGGTAAATGGAAATGATACACTATAGTATTGAGACGACTTGTAGAAACAGCTAGAATATACCTAAATAAATAAATAAAATTTTCAGCGTTCTCACCTGAATAGCATTGAAAGCCTGACATCTCTTTAGCGAAGGGGCTTGAACATCATCGCTTGATACTGTGTCTTCCATAGAAATATTCAAGTTGTCCTTTCCACTGTTGTTATTATCACATATTGTCACATTCACACAGTTATCTAAAACTTGTAAACTATTCTCGCCAGAACGACTGAAAGTTATTTGAAGTAATGGCTTGTTGTTTCCATTGATTTTTACACGTGAGAACGACTTCAAGTTAGCGTCTTTCTTCAAGGTCTGGTTGGCATCTTCTCCGTTCCTTAAGTTTTCCACAACGTTAGCAACGCCTTTATTTATAATTTCGTCGTTTTTAGCAAAACTAGACGAATTGTCGTCTGATATTTCGTGCAGCATATGTTGGAGCTCTTTGCGGATTAGATCTCTAATAAAATCTTCTATGCTTCGTGTGTCCGTTGCTTGGTCTGTCCTTTGTTCAACGTAAGTATCTTCTTCGGTTAACGTCCTGTAAAATATAGTGACTTCACAACCTGCCTTGAAACAAGTTCTTTTTTTATGATAACAAGTGACGGGACGAACATGTGCGCCTGGCGGTAAGAGACACGCCTACCCGTAACAGTTGCAGTGCCAAACGAGGGAACTCAGCCCTCCTTGTCATAACTAACACATTTGCACTTCGCTAACTGCCTCCGTGGCCGAAGGGTTACCATGCCGGACTGCCACGCAGAGGTCCCAGGTTCGATTCCTGGGCCGGGAGAAACGTTTTTTATGGCCTATATTTATTTCTCTCGTGAGTTTGGGTGTAATTTGTGGTTATCTATGTGTGTGTCCATGGCACCTGCGACACAGGGTTTCCCTAGTGCGGGGCTATGTTGAATGTGTACGTTATTTATTTATTAACTTCAGTAACTTTCGAGATATAGGCACCTACTTTTCTTTTACAATAAAAATGTCAATTATCATGATTTTGCTTGACAGTAAAACAAACTAAATAAGATATAAAAAAAGCAATTAGAGAGGATTGTAGATCTTGTTTCGCCGATCCCAGATATGTTAATGACTCAATTTTGTTAAAAATGTCCATTACTTTCGTAATGATAAGGAGGGCAGAACTATAAACAAGTATTTTTTTGCATTTGGTTTTATTCAAATTAAATAATATTACAAAACGCTTCTTTTTTATTAATTTCCTCATTCAAATGCGTCAAAAAAAAACGTCTTGTCAGCGCGGTGCCTGCACGTGCGTAGATAAGAAAGCAGGGAAGGGTTGAACCCGCGCGTCTGGACAAGAATAGTGTTTTTGACATGTTGCTAATGCTAAACTTGTTATTATCCAGCGCAGTAAGTGAGATTCTACAAGATCGCAAGGTTTACATAGTGTGGCACAACCATATTCATGTTGTAAAAAAAAATTCAATTTCAATATTATTTAACTCGTATAATGGTTTCCACTAACGATTTTGGGCAGAACTGGCATAAAATCGGGCGCTTTGGGTAAAAACTCATGCGATCGGATTGGGTTTTAATACACTGCCTATTTCCAGTTGCAGTGCAACTCAGGCTTTAAATCGCAAAGGTCTTGAAGAACGATGCTACTGCACACTTTACCGACACATTAAGTTGATAAATCCGATGTGCCTGTAGTTTCACCAGCTCCCATCCAAAACCGGTGCGCAGTAATAATGCTCGCAAGACTGCTTGGCGACAGAAATATGTTTGGTGGCACTGCTACTAACTTACTATGGTCACTTTAACTTCGGTGATTGGACGAGAACTGGTGTTTTCAACGTGGCATTTCATCATAATATTGCTCATTCGGTACAACAACAGCAAAAAAATATACAAAATCTCGACGATTAATATCATGATTGCGTCAAGGCATGTAGTTTCATTAACGACTGCAAGGTGGCGCTATAAGTAGTAAAATCGTAATGCAGAAAGAAGTGACATAATTAAAACTCGTCTTGGACTCTATAAACAAGTACAAGTAGGCCATTGTTGTACCTTGAGCGATATAATCCCTATGTGATTAGATACGTGTATATACGCTGCGCAATGTAGATCTATTTCAACAGCTCACCCTTTGTCAGCGTCTTTCTTCCAAGTACGGAATCGGTCAATGTCTCTGTTTCCAAAATTTATACATTTCGCAACACTTTCTCTCGCTTGGCAAAACTGTTCCCAATGACTCCCTGTAATGTCAAAAACAAATCCACCCATTTCAATTTAACTAACAAAAATGTCAGAATAAAATAAAGACAGTGAGACCTACCTTGTTTATGAAAAAAGTATGATTGAGAACGTAAAGTAAACATTCATGATACATAAAAAAGTTTTATTTTAGTCCAACACCACTCCATTAACAATAATTATGTATAGGAAATGAAACTATTTTTCTGGATTTAAATTACATTATATTTGTTTTTTTTTTTAAAAAAAAAAACAGCGTTTCGGGTCCTTTACGCGATTAAAATCCGGAAAAATAGTTTCATTTCCTATGTGTAACAATCGCGAAAACTTAAGAACTCGATAATAGATATGTACAGTCAAGAGCACATCAAGCTTGACACTTTGTACTTTGGACCGTCCTTATCGTAAGTGGTACGAGTAGGATTTAAGTCTTAAGTGTCAAGCTTGACGTGCTCTTGACTCTGTAAGTAACAGATGAAACAATGACAATAAAACATGTTAAAATAAAAGACGAGAAGGAGATTAATTCAATACTAAAATAATTATATTTACAAAATTAAACAAATACACTGTGCAACACAGACTAATTAGTTTAATAAAAAATAAATAATAGCGTCAGGAGAAGCAACCGGTGACACTAGTTTGTAAAATAAGATTAAGTGCATAGAACGTACATAATGTGCGAGAAAAACAAATACGTACTTAACAGTTTCCCCGCCCTTCTCAAATGTTAAATAAAGATTCCTAAACATAGGATTAGTAACTATGACCATGCATAATTATTTCTTTTTAATTAAACTGACCGCTTTTGCCGCTACTGGCAGGCGAAACAGGGTGTCCTCTGAAAGGCTTTGAAGCTGCTTTTTTCGCGTTCAAATGCGGAAAAGACTTCAGCAACGTATCCACGCAGTGAGATGCTGGCTTCACCGCCGGTATGCGACAACTGGAAATTTTAATCAATACGAATTTCTAGAGGCAAAAATATGAAGGTTCACGTGTAGGGTTAATCGCATCCATATCGATCGTCCATTCGGTGATCGGGTGTGGGCCGGTACTTTCATCGTGGTACGTTGACTACAGAAGCAATGATGAGAGTACAGTCCATAAATACAAGGTGAATGGAAGTGTGACACTATCAAAATCAATATCAAATAGCCAACGACACGCGGTGTTCCCAGGCGGTCACCCATCCAAGTACTGACCGC